TTTTTTGTCACTAGATAGTGTTGATGGTCAACACATCTAGTAACAAAAAACCGCGGATACTTTTTAGATGACCCAATATATCATTAAGCAGCAAGGTCCAGTTTTGATCTTATCAAGCAGTGACTAAAATATAAATATTTATTTTTTTATTTTATAGATACATTTGATTTTTTATTTATAGATACATTTGATTATTATTAATTTTGATTATTATTATTATTATTTTGATTATTATTGATTTTTTATTACTATTTTTTTTAACAGTTTCTATAATTAAAGGCTATTTTGTTATTTCTTGATATTGCTGACATATTTCTTGATAAGCGTTCTCGCTTTTGGTTCGATTATGGTATTTAATTGACTTTACAACATACAACGAAGGATGTTCATACAATAATAACAGCGTTTTTATGTTGTCTTTATTATCCATTTCCTAAAAATTATCATATTTATGAATACATACGCACATGTGCATGCGTGCACGCGTGCGTGTGTGCGTGCGTGCGTGTAAGTTAACCTTCCAATTAAACATAGTGCATTTTCCTCATAAAAAATTTATGAACAAATATTAATTAATAATTAACCTTTTTATTTAAATATATTCAATAGTTTTACTTTGTACTTACAAAATATTTGTTAAATATTTTTACCGAACGAACAATTAATACTTCTATGGTGATTACTGTTCCAATATTCTGTCAGCACCAAAAATTACTAAATAACACGGAAAAATGGGACATGATGCATTTTTATTTTGAGAGGTCTGGCCAGAATTTTCATTGGAATTGTCTATATCGGTTTAATAATTTTTCCTTGAATCTCAGAGCTTGGACCGAGTTCTAGTATCGTGGATACAGACTTTCGAGATTTCTATATGAGATTGGGTGCTTTTAAACAACACAGATCGACACTGTGTAACACGTCAAACATTGTGCTTAGATATTGGGTCATCTAAAAAGTATCCGCGATTTTTTGTCACTAGATATGTATTGATGGTCATATATCTAGTGACAAAGTATCGCGGATACTTTTTAGATGACCCAATACTTAAATGGAATGCGTTTAGTTTGAACTAGATCACTAGGATCTACTATACAGATTGCGTTCGAAAATAGAAATGATAGATACTCGCATTCAGGTAGAGTTTTCGAACGCAGCTCTAGTGAGTTTATTAATCATTTGATTGAAAAATGGCGGACAAGAAGCGTATTGACATACTTAGGGTGCGTTTCGGGAAGATTGCGCTATTTAGCGCTACAAACTAGAGAGCCTATAATCAGAGTGGCCATACGAGAGATGACGTCATGTTTTAGCGAAATTCTGCGAAAGAGAAAGAGATATACAGTTTCAGTCTATTCAACAAACTATCAATTTTAGGGTTAGATGCAACAGCATTGAACGACATAGATACGTAAAGGTACATTGAAAAATAAAGTTATCGAAATTATTGGATCATCTAAAAAGTATCCGCGGTTTTTTGTCACTAGATGTTTTGTTACTAGATGTGTTGACCATCTAGTGAAAAAAAACCGCGGATATTTTTTAGATGACCCAATATTATTACAGATGCATTTTGCTCCTAAAATGTGGGAACAGAAAATGGATAATAAATTAATGCATTTAATATTGGGTCATCTAAAAAGTATCCTCAGTACTTTGTCACTAGATATATGACCATCAACACACATCTAGTGATAAAAAACCGCGGATACTTTTTAGATGACCCAATAGCACAAATAATGTGCAGTAAATAACGTTTTGTATAAAGTAATGTGCAATATTACAAAATGTATATTGCAATAGTACAAAATAAATGAAATTTTATATTGGGTCATCTAAAAAGTATCCGCGGTTTTTTGTTACTAGATGTGTTGACCATCAACACTATCTAGTGACAAAAAACCGCGGATACTTTTTAGATGACCCAATATAAAATTTCATTTATTTTGTACTATTGCAATATACATTTTGTAATATTGCACATTACTTTATACAAAACGTTATATAAACTGTTCGCGGAATACTGCAGATAGTGCTACAAATACAATCATGATGTCACTAATGGTAACATGTTACGTCACAACTGCGCGCTATTCCTTCCGAGGTAATGTAGCGTTAGCATTTACAGATCCGTGAACGACCTTAGCGTAGCATTGGTAGCGTTTAATATACGTCAAAGTTAGATTAATGTTTGAGGGGATTCTGTTCTCGAGTGGCACCAAACTTCTCTCTCTTAGAATTTCGTAGAATAAATATAAACGTACGTACCCTGGACAGAAATAGAAAAAAAGACGTCGCTACGATAGAAAAGTTGTCGATTCGAAACTTGCATCGAAATTTCAACTTTTAATTTTCGAATGATAAAAAAATTACGTATGTAGAGAGTGCAATGAGAGTTTGATACATTTTTATTTTTTTTTTTTGTATAAATTTGTGATACGTAATCTTATATTTTGAATATTTTCGTTCAAAAGTCGAATCGACATTTTTTTCGATTTCATTTCGACAATTGCAATATCACTCTAATCATAAAAGTTTTCACAAAATTTTTCAGAATTTATAAATAATTTTATAACTTTTTAGAAAATTGTGGAATTTTTTTATATGAATCGGAATTTTTTACAATTGTCGATAAAGTCTACATCTTTTCTTCTAATAATTCTTTGTATTTTATTTTATTATTCTACTCTTGCTGAATAACATTACTTTTATTTGTACTTCGTAGTTTATAATCTTATTACGTCACTTTTGTATTGAGGAATTTCATGGGATATGTGTCTCTTACTATAAATGCTGACAACCTATTAGTTGTCTCTTATGATAAATGAGCACATTTATCAATCAAGGAAAAATATCATCGATTTTATCTAATTCTAGTCAGACTAATTCTAGCTCGAATCGATATCGAAACGATCTCGATTTTTAAATTAATGAAATTTAAATGTTGGTCTATCATATAAGTTTCCAATATCATTTGGAAGCATAAAAATATTATTAGTGCTACTGCAGTAGTATTACTACTAATACGCAATAGTATCAATGCTGAGCCAGTACATACGAATATACTACTGTAATAGCATATGACGACATATGACGTAACATAGAACTACTTCCAGTAATATTTGGTATAAAAAATTTATTAGAGTAAAAAATATATACATATATTATATATATATATATATATATTAGGTGTTGGAATTAATTCGTAGCGTTTTTAATGAAAGAATGTTATTTATTTATTAAAAACAAGTTATTATCATAGGTATCATCATTTGTATATTACTGCTATATTTAACATTAATTATATTTTTTTATGTGTTCCGTCTCTTTCACAACATCTTTGAACAGATAAATTACAACTATACATCCATTAGGATTATAGGTGTTCATGGTTCTTCGAAAGAGCAGTTCCCGTACGATCACAGAAATAAAGCATGGAAGTGGAGATTCGGATGGGTGACCGCGCATGGGTACATCATAAAATTAGTTCTTGAATTCATAAAATAAATTTTTTTTTGTCGTGTATCTTCTAAAATATGATGCTAATCAATAATACTTATTTTCACAATAAAATTTTAATGAAACTTTAATGAAATTTTCTCCATCACTATTACACTATTAGTGACATTACTTATCGAATTTACTTATTGCATTAGTGACACTAATAGTATATTTTTATGCTGACTAGATCAATTCAAAATTTTATTTCCAACTCGAAAATTAATCGAAATTGAAACCAAAAATCCATTGAAATCAATAGAAATTTCGAAAACTTTCGACTTTTATTTTCGACATCGAAACGACGTTTTTTCGAGAAACTATTTCTGACTGAGATACGTAATGTGTGAATTTCAAATTTTATCATAATGAATGCAATGTCAATTTTAATCTCTGCTAATAGTTTATCACTAACCTGGAGTGAACATAATTCTTACTTATGTATTATCCTTAATTTTTCAAAGTTTCTGCAAAATTCAACTTATGTATTTGATTTCATTTTAAATGTGAAAGTCAGAGGTATCTTGTTGCTGGCAATTTTTAATTTCTGTACAGAAAAAAATTACTATTGCGGTATAGCGCGGCAGGGTATTCCACTACAGATGCTTAAGGTCCTTATTAGATGTAGATATGCTTCTTCTTCTGAAATCGACAACGGATGCTCAAGGGTTCTTCTTTTTATCTGATTAATTTACTTACTACTAATTATTAATTTTTTTATCTAATTTACATTGTTCACTCCGGTCTAGCGGCAAGCTATCATAGAGATTGCAATTGAAATTCTGTTATTCACTACGAGAAAATAAAAAAATTATGTTACAAATACTTTACAAAACCTTAAAAATTTTAATTATAGAAAAAAGTTTGGTTGGTGATTGAAAACAGAATCCCCTACATTAACTTAATCTCGACGAATATATCTCTCTGGTTAAACGCTACCAATGCTACGCTAGGATCGTTCATGGAGCTTGTTAACGTTATCGCGTTATTGGTTCCAAGAACAGCATTGGTAGCGTTTGCGTCCATAGCGTGAATAGTCGAATCTGAATAGTAGAATCTCCCCGAATGCATCCTTAAGTATCTATTAAAGTATGTACAAATAAACATAACAATAATCATTATTATTATTTACAATTGTGATAAGTTATAAATATGATATTTTGCAGAGGAATAAAATAAAAATTGTACATCAGTTAATAGAAACTTCCAATTTAGATAGTAGTTCCGATGAAAGCAGTGCAATGAAAGAATTGAGCAATAGTAGTAGTACTTCTAGTAGCAACGAAGATCATGCAGACTTATTGTTTTTTCCTCTTCTACATTAACGACTGGCCAAAAAAGATATTGTATTGAGAATTATCTTTTGATTATTGACTCTTGGACAAATAAAAAATTTAAGGAACATTTAAGATTGAATCGGCATACTACGCAAAAACTAATTAGTATGAAATATATTCATTATCGATTTATACATAATAGTCTACATAATTAATTATTGTGACTATAATGCATGCTGTATATAAAGTACGAAATAAATTTTTTACAGATGAGCTACATTTATCAAATTTTATTCCATCACATTCATTTGGAAAGAAACCAATTTCAACAAAATTGAGTTTTTTAATTTTTTTATGCCACATTGCCAATACGAAATCTCTGCGAACTATTGCTAATAGATTTGGAATTTCTATTTCATTTGTGTTCTCCGTGTCATAGCCTGGTTGATGACGAAATTAGATGTAGTGACTAAATGGCCACAAAAACAAAATCGTATAATAACGACCATTGAAGGTTTTCGTGCTAAGCAAGGAATTTCAAATATCTTAGGAGCCATCGATGGTACTCATATTCGGATAGAAAAATCTGCAATGTACGCACAAGACTTTTGTAATAGAAAACAAATTCTTTTGTTTACAAACTCTATTAGTTTACAAATAGTGGTAGATGCATATATGCGGATTACAACATACATATTGTGGTGAGTCCAGGTCTCTCCATGATACGCATATATTTCGAAAATCAGAATTGTATCATACAGACAATGGTGTATTATTTCCTGGTAATACTTTTTTATTACGAGGCTCAGTATATCCATCTTTATCGTGGCTTGTACCATCTTTTCGAGATAATGGTCATCTTACACTACAACAGAGGGAATTCAATTTTATACATTCATCCACAAGAATATCTGTTGAAAAAACAATAGGGGAATTAAAAGGACGATTCCGTCGAATTAAATTTTTTACTGAGTATCGTGAAATATCATTTATCATTAACACAGTAGCTGCAGCATATATATTACACAATTATTGCATAAACAAGAATGATGTTTATGATTTTCCTGAAGGTAATGATAAAAATTTTAATAATTTTGACAATTATAATGAGGAAATACAAGAACATAAAGTAGAACAAGAATACAACATCGCAGAATACAACTTTTCAACGAATTGTTCCCTGAACAATAAATTACCGTAAAAATTTTGCGTAATTTTCTAAATGGTTAAATACGCATAATGTAAATTTGCAATAATGTTGATTCCATAAAATACAAATAACTATCGACAACATTTGTATCTTATATATGTAATATTAATGTTAAATTATCTTTATTTAAAAATTATTGATATAATACTACTTATTTATTACATCTCTTATAAACATTATTTTTTGTATTTTTACGTGTGCTTCAATAAAAGAGATAGTAACATTAAAAAAATATATAATACTTTCCTAATTTGTTTAAATCTTTCGCTTATAATTTATATTTTTAGCATTATAACTTACAAAGAGAAAATAACTAATTATGCTTACAAAGAGAAAATAAAATACTAATAAAAATAAAAACTTAAATCAAATCTTAACGCTGCTTTAATTATAAGATTTCAGTCAGAATCTGAAATTTTATGAACATTTTCTTTATCTTCTGCAAGTTTCTTTAACAATTTGTATTTTAATTGTCTGATTTCTAATAATTCCATATGACGGGTTTTTTTTTCTTTTGGAATTTCTTTTCGTTGTTCCAATTCAATCTCTTTTAAATCAAGTTATCTTTTTTTAACTTTAGAGCTTCTTTCTTACCCTGCAACAAACCTGTATTTCTTTGATCTGTGATATGATCACGTTCTTCTTTTCTTTGTAAATGATGTAGGCACTGTTCTATTTTTGTTGCTGCAGTTTTGGAGCCTGTTCCATGAGAAGAACGCTTACGATTTTTCACGCTAGTAATGTTTGAGTTTATGAGATCATTCTTCGATAAAATTAATTTCGATGGATTGGTCTGAATTGAAGAGGATTCACTCGAATATTCTTTTTCAGAAGTCGAAGTACAAATGGCGGATGTTGATAATTTCGATGAAACAGTATGTCCAGTACTGACACGTGGTTCTAAAATTTCATCCAACTACTTATACCACTCCAAGTCCATGCAAGCCCTTCCCGACTTTGAATTATTGTCTACTACTTCTCTGTACCTTTTCACTATTGATTTTCCATCGGACTTTATCATTTGTCATCTAAAATAAGATAGAGTAATCGCCATGTTAATATATAATATTTGAATAAGAAAGGAGTACAGTTACATTTGTATCTATATCTATATTATATAAAATATGTAGTTTGTATAAAATTATGTAGAATTAACTTAAAAAATATTTAAAAATATTTATTCAAAATTATTTAAATTATTACTTAAAATTCCTTCATTATTTGATGTTATGTAAACCTTTAGAAGTAAAAGTCGATGTATTATTATGGACGTAGAAAGTAATACATCCTCTTTAATAAAAAAATATCTTTATTCCAAACTTTAGTAGTCCAATTCTTATTACATCCCATATTTTTCCTTTTTTTTAGGATGATCCATCATTTCTATATTTGCTTCATATAAGCTTGTAATAGCCGATTGCTTTTCGATCCCAAACAGCATCTGTAAAAATATAAGTAAATATATATAAAGTATGGACTTATATCTATTTTTGTCAATTATTACTGATAATTATTAGTATATATATATGTACGTTTTAGGCATCGAGACGTATGTATTTTTAATATCGTTTTACTCTCCATAAGGCAAAATGAATCTTTTATTATTTATTATAATCTTAATGATAATCAGATCCTTATTTATATTATTTATTTACAATAATATATTATTTTTTTCTTTATTCTTATTTAAAATAGAATCTAAGTTAATTAAAATAAACCATTCAAATTTAAACTACAATATTTATATATATTTTCTACTTCCTCTAATCTTATCATCACTCATCTTAATAATTTAATTTTAATACACCATATTATATTATTTTATTTAACAGTTGTTATTCCTCCTATTCTACTCTTTTTCCTTATTTTTCTATCACTCTTTCTCTTTCTATATACACCTATATAAATAAAATATCTTTAAAAAATATCTTTGAACGTACGAGTCTCATTCTAATTTCCACTCTGTTAATTAAAATTTTATTTTGATTGAAAACGTCGCAGACGGTGACCTATGAGATCTAGCGTACGATTTCCTCGAATGTTTCTCGAGCGCCGTATTTGGATTTGACGAGTCTAACGTGTCGTCCATATAACCGGGAATATCTGCGTCCCATAAGCAAGAGGTTAGATGGGAAGTTTTTGTGGGTAAAACATAATGTAATAACGCCTTGATGTACGCGCAGTAAGCGTAAATGTTATTTGATGGCGGCACGAATTTTTGATTGAAATATATGTCGATTTGATTGAACATGAAATACAGTAAATGATTTACGAGTCTTCTCTTACCACGACATCGGATGCGGCCGATGTGCTCTCTCCGCGTTCGCTTTCTACGCTTTCTATGCAAAGGCTCAATATGGTGTGAATAAGATCCAGATAGTCTTCTCCATGTCCGGGGACGAATTTTATGGGCGAGTTGTCCGCGAGCGAAGTTACGGGTTTGTAATAAATTTATTGCAAACTCTCAATGCTAGTTTGCGGAAGAGATAAAGAGAAGAAATCGAGTTTACTCTTTATACATTCGTTCGTGAGTATGAAAGGACACGCTTTTTTCCAGTCACGAATTCCTATCTCAATTAAGAGAATATGTCGGATACGTCATGTTTCTTGACTCAATATTTCCTAGCGATTTTTTGGTTTTTCTTCCTTCAACACAAATTTTCTTTTTCTTCTTCGTCACTTTTTTGCTCTTTTTCTCTGTGGTACTTCTCGATGATTTTCTTTTGACCGTCCGACGTCGTTTACGTTGCACGATACATCTATCTCGATACCGATTGGAAACTGAAGCGCCGCGGATTTCGGATATTTTATATCCTGATCTCCTCATCAAAGATCTTATTTTTTCTTTGGCTTTTCTCTTCAGATTACCCCTCGATTCTGCGAGCCGACTTTTGATCTTCCTTTAACAGTTTTTTATTTTCGATATCTTCTATTATGTTAATTCGCGCAAAAAAAAAGCTTCTTTACCGACAGCACATGCACGTTATTTAGACGAGGTAATATTTTTTTAAATAACCTGCCGAGAAAGCTTTCGATTCCATGTCCGCGCTGGTAGGGTAAACGAAAACACGTGGAATTCCACCTCGACTACCGGTGTTCCGAGCATCAAAATACTCCTCATATTCCATCGCTAGTTCCTAATTAAAGACTGTCACTACCGACACACTCACGTACACAGAAGAAAGAAAGTTATTGCTTACGTTTAAAGTGCAATGTCACTGTCAGCGTTCCAAATTCGAACGAAATTTTTTTTCCAAGATATTCTCTTATATCTATTTTGAGCGTTCTAAAATTCGTTTGTGGCAATGGGATATAATTTGGAAATGAGAAATGCTTCATCAAATGCGTAATTATGACTGCGTATCTCGACCGGAACCATCCTGAGAAGAGGAGTACGTACATCATCTATTATATAAAAATAATAATACAAATATAAACGAACATTTTATCGGGAATACCGCGCCACAAACTATAGGGTTCGCTACTCCAGTAACCAACGGAAAAACAACCTGCAAGTCGTTTTCCCATCTTCTTATTAAATCCATGAGTAAGAAGTTTTCTCTTCTGTTTCATTGGAATTAGGTTTGCGTATCGCGAGATTGGAATAAAATAAATAATTATTTGAGGAAATTGATGATGCGAAACCTAACATTCGTAGAAGATTATCGAAAAAGTTTATATGATGTAGCATTTTGTACTTCTCATCACAGTTATATAATACTTATCAAGACTTTGCTTTTAGCCAGACGCTTTTTGCTGTTCGAAATAAAAATGATTTGACAACTTTACACGCGGTATTAATCGCATCAATAAGTTCATCAATATCATTGTAAATTCCATTTGGAAATGCAACTTCTTTTGCCGTAAACGCATGCACCGTTCGTCCCTTCATCGGGTTTGACGAATCTGATCACATTTTTGTTATGACATACATGTAAAAAGATAAAGGGAAATTGAATCTCGCTTATCGTAACTTCCCATTGTTCATGTAACACTATAGAGTGAGGTAATTCCATGATAAAGGACGATGTATTGTCCGGAAAATGACACATACTAATACTGTTACTCGGAAGTACCAGAAGAAATTGTTCCTCCTCCATCGCGAAGAGAAATTAAACTCGAAGCTGGAATCCAAGTGTCAAACTTATTGGGATAACCGCGCCAGCTAACAAATTGCTTATTAGCTCCACGTCCCCTACTTTTTCACGCGATCGACGATAAATTGTTCTAAGTTTTTTTCAACTCGAGCTAATTCTTGCTCATAAAAAATACCGTCTATGACTTCGTTTGCTAAATCTTGCAGTTCGTACACGGTACAGTTTTGCCAATCGAGAACACGTAAATTTGAAATATCTCCTCGCTCCACTTAGCTTTATATCCTTTCTCGAAGGCGTCTTTTCGCTCTACTAATACGAACGAGATCTCCGACATGATATTTAATCTTTCGCGCACTTTCGTTTCTTTAACGTTTCATTTTTCCAACGATGAACTATATTTTCACGAGCAATACGCGCGTTTTCTCTCGTTACTACCGCAGGTTGTATTCTCATGGACGAATGACACGTATGATTGTAAGCGCATACAATATCAGAACAATGATGTAGCGTCGCGTATTTTTATGCGTGAAATAATGTCACATTCGCTGCTTCTGTTGAAGCGCTCGACGGTGGCGGCTTTGACATCTGGATTGTGCGTTACCCGAAAACGAATGTCGTTTTCTTTAAGAAATTTCTGCATTGATTGCGCGACAAATTCTTTGCCCTTGTCCGTTTGTAAGTATACGGGTACTCGTCCTTCGCTTTTCGCTAGTATGTGTTGGAAAGCTTTTATCACCCAGTTACTCGTTTTATCGCGTAATGGTTCTACTACAGACGTACTTACATCGATAATCACTAACAGATAGGAATAACCGTCATTGTAACTTTTTAGATTTCGAAGTTCGATCAAATCTGCTTCCCACACATCGTCAATTTGTTACGTTGTATGTGCAATTGTTACAGACCTGTCCTACAGACGCCACGATTCTTTTTTTCGGCTGCACGTCGCGACTATGGTTGGCGTCTGCGACACTCGAGCGGAGCTTTCTGATAACGGTCTGACAGAATTGAAAAGAGGGACCGGACAGGCTCCGCGAAAACTCGTAAATGCCAATCAAATCAGAAGGAATAACAATCTCAATGCAGGCCCGAAAAGAGACAAGATTGCAAAAGACATTATAAATGCACCGAAGTCACGCAATAGTAAAAATCTAGGCTTTGTCATCCGAGACTGACTAACAATTTCATCTTAGAAAAACAGGCGCGCTTAAAAAATCGTAAAACGCATAGGATAACTTTCCACGGTAGCGTTATCTAAGGTCAGACTCGCGACTGACAATGGTAGCCCTGCACGCAAACCTAGTTGTGCACGGTAACCATTTATTTACCTAGCTGTATTTTCCGCGAGAATAACAGAATTCGTCATCCGTCTGGAGCAATCTTAACTCTTTAAGAAAAAACGTAAATCACTTCTTTTCTTCTCGAAACTACTCTAACGATGTACTTTAGATTAATAACAATAGGACGCTATAAAAATCGTAAATCCCGCGTGACATTGCAATTAACTTTTGCATCCTAGACAAAGGGCAACGCCCTTTCGCCTTTTTTCGGGGTATAAATAGAGGTCCCGCGGAAGCGCAGAGCATCACGAAACTTCAAACCACTCGGTCCACGTCAGCGAAGTTCGCGATCAGTTACGAGTTAACTCATTGTCACGGGTAGTGCGGAAATTATTGAAACTCGCGCTAATCACGCCAGTTCGCGATTCCATCCGACTGCAAACTTGTGAGCAAATCGCAACTGGAATTACCAGTTGCCATATGCCACTGCGACTGCCCTTCGGACGCTCTCCGCGGACGACGGATCTCCTTGGTCATCCGCTTGGAACCTACCCGATATCTTGGGCCCAGCTAATAGCAAGTCGTTATTCTTTCCAGTCCACTCCCGCGTTTCCCTGCATAGAAACATATTCATTGTACTTAACTACATTTACATGCGTTTCCAAAGAACACACGTCAATTTTAATGCTTCGGTTCGTAGTGCGTACCATTAGGAAACACGGACGAACCTGTCCGGAGGAGTAGGCGGAACCGTTCCCCAGGGCCATCCACAATCACGCCGCCACAACCGACTGGCGAACAATTCACCGAGATCTCCTATTCACCAATAGAGACACAACCGTTAGATCTCACCTCTCCTCCTGTCATCGACCTTGCTATTCAGGAAATCCTCGGTTATTCCCCTCCTCCTCTCGAGGAACGATTCCCTCCCCCTCCTTCTCATGAAGAAGGATTCTCACTCCCTCCTCCTTTGGATCAGCTCCCGCCCCTCCTGCCCCTCTTGCACGCACACACGCACGCACGCACGCATGCACGCACACACGCACGCACGCACGCATACATCCATAAGCTGTAATGTATATTTTTATGTAAAAAAGGGAAGAGAGAAGTTTTATAATGTATAAAACCCTTTTTTATTATTATTTTTATTAATAAATGTAACTTAAGGTGTTCCCCTGTCTTTTATTAAAATCTCGCATTCTCTTCCCTCTAATATCTGAGGTCGCACGAGGTCCAGTCCCGGGTCAAAAGCATTAAGTTTCTTGAAAAAGGATTAAGTTCCTCCAAAAAGTAGGAAAAATAGATGTTCGCACTGTCCAGCGGAACAGATGTCATAGCGTCCCTTCGGACGTTGACTCATATTCCGGGACTGAAAAGATGCGTACGACTCACAGGTGTTCGCCTCCGCGCGTATACCTGTGAGATTGAGTCTAACCGTCCTTCCACACCCTCTTCATTCTCCCTCATTGTCTCCTTGATCAAATTTTCAAGGGTTTAGACATAACACAATCGTGGAAATGTTCTATGTAATAATATAACGTGTTTTGCGATTCAAGCCAGCGCACGACTTCTCCCCGTGAGAAATTCGGTTTAACAACACGAATTAGAATATCCATCGCCGAATAGCCCGCATAATGCGACGAATCGTAGTATAATTTTTCAAACGTCATCATTATCCTATTTTTTAACAACTGAATAATCAATTTTTTTCTGTTTGTGAAGATATGGAAGTCTTAATTTTTTTTTGTACGAGAAAGAATCAACGAGCTTTCCTCGTTTATTTCTTGTTCGTAATTTTTACGTTTTTATCTTTCCACGCGCTCCCTATACAATTGGCGTAGAACTCGTGCTTTTGTTATAAAGAGCGTGGAACCCCCACGAAGTCGAAATTTTACGCTGTTTACACTAACACTGTGTGTAGACAATAATCTTTTATTTTTAGCGCAGAAGGTATGTTCAACACGCGGAGTAATAGCGCAAACTGATTTCTATCCACTACTTTCATAGTTTTTCTCTTACGCATCGCGACGTTTATCAAATCATTGATATGAATCTTTCACGACATTACTATCTATAGTCACGATTCCATGCTCGTCCCAACTAATTCTATTAGGCACAGCTTTTCGAAACAAAAGTTTCATCAGTAAGTGCGCGTGCTTACAATTTTTTTAGGAATTGCGGATCGTTAGGATAGACTTGACGCTAAATGATGAATTTGAGCGTGATCACGTGGATTTTTGAAAACGACAATGTAATTCGCGTTGAGCGATATATCGCTTTGACCATGTCTCTGATACAAGAGATGCGATAAGAATAACACTGAGATTTTTGTAATAACTGTTTTTGGTGAAAAGATCCACGATCGCGTAGCACGACGACGATTCTCTCGACGATAAGATCGTCGATTATCACTAATTTCGGAGAAAGCGGATCATTCGAGTAATCTTCCGGACGGGGTAAACCTTCGCGAAATTCAATTATATTCTTCTTCGTCGCTATAGTATTACCGCATCCCCAACTCTGTTCTTCGAGCTCTTTTTTACGAATGTCGCATTGTAATTGACAATAGGCTTCTTGCCATTCCGCATAATAGAACAAAATTCTCTCAATGTGCGTCGAAGAGATAAACGGAGAAAAGTCTTTACAAAAATCGTTTTCCCGTTTCCAGTCGGATTGCATACGATCGATGTCCATGAATGTTTCCAGCGTACGTCCATTTTGCAAAATAAGCTACTTTATTACGCAAGG